GTGCCAAACGTGTTCCGTGAAGATATACATGTACAAACATCATGGACCGTTAGCGTCTATTCATTTAAATACCATCGAGATTGATTAATAAGACCCATGTGACGAACATAGAGTCATTGGCTGATATAATTGAAAATAATCACAGTTTATTAATTCTTTGGTGATGTACTAAAGCTTTCTGAAATAGTTTTCATAACTCTAGAAAGCAGAACTCTGAAAGAACTTGTTTTCAGCAATAGCGATAGTGCTAGACGATGCTAGCGACGTTGCGTTTTCGAGAACGTAGAATTCGTAAAAATACGTAAATTTGCTATTCTTATGTGAACACGAATATTGATACTCCGGATAATGATTTTGATAATTAATAGGTGTATCATAATCGCGGGGTGTCATTACAATCAAATATGAAATCATGGGCATTATTATAAGCGTTGCTTCTCAAAAGTACATATACTACAGCTTCGAACAAAATCCATTTCGTGGTAATAAATGGCACATTAACAATATAAAGTTCTATTTGTTGTAAAATAGAAAATTGTTACCTTTACCTTGAACAGTGATAGCCAGTTGGTTCATTATACTGACATTTTTTCATTTTACCAATCTTAAAAAAATACAATTTGGCAAGTAGCGAGTAACTGTCAAAGAGATTAATATGTCAAAAAATGCGTTTCGTAATACTATGCGTTTGTCTCAATGTAACCAGAGCAATGAAAAGCCATCCTTGACGACCGACGTCAGTTAAGGTTTTAACAGCCCACCATCCGTTCAGAACAATCGAATCTAATTTGCTGTAACCAAAGATGGCAATGAGTACTCAAATACAAAGAAAAATTATTTTAATTTTTATACATTTTTGTGATAAAATTGTAAGTACAGTATGGAACAGCACGGCCGGTATCACAATTACCGGATGTACCCGCCCTTTATCGGCCTGATGATGTAAATTACTACAATGAGATATCAAGTTGCGAGGTGAGGCAGGAGGAAAAACGTTGAGGGATGCGTTATAGAAATTTCGTGCCCGAAGATTGGTGTATTGGATCACTGCCGCCGCCTCCGCCCGGCAATCCGGTGGCTCGACGTCGCCCGGCAGCGCTTCCGTTGCTACTGCCGCCGCCGCCGCTGCCGCCGCCAGCGCCGCCAGGGGACATACGGCGGGCGCACGGTATCTGTACACGCTGTCCGCCGGACACAATGGGAACAAACCGACGCGAACAATGTGGCCCTTTCTTTGTTCTTTCCGCTCAGAAGTTCCAGGGTGCTGTCGCCGTCGCGCCGCGCCACGCCGCGCCGCGCCGCGCCGCGCCTCGCCGCGGCCGCCCGCCAAACGAATGACTTAATGAGCAGCCGGCCGGGCGAGCGAGCCCGGTGGCGCGCCGGCCATCGGCCGCGCTCCTCGCCTGACGCCACCGCCGCCGCCCAGATAGAGATACACAGCCGGCCGCCTACGGTAATGACGGCCCTGGGATAACAGGCGTCGCCAAACAATCCGGCCGACGCGGCTGGCCGGGCGCGACTTCCTTCGTGGGCGGGCACAATACACACAAACGCCGAGAGGCAAGCGCTGGGCATTAGCTTATTGTACACTCGTTGAGTAATGCGGTGTTTAGCTGCGCTGCGAATGCGAGGATGGAAGGAAACGCGTGCACTAGGAGTGTTGACGCGAACGGAATATTGAATTGCGATGAATGCTCTCTCCAGGTTTATGGTGCATCCTGCGATCCATTGCCGTTTTCTGTTCAACTCCATCTAACACCTATCCCTGATTCTACCTTTCACATTGAAACTCTAGAATGAAGATTTTCGTAATGGACTATTACTTGGTGTGCTTACAGCACTAATAGAAAACTGATCGCAGCAATTAGCTGCTCTTTTTTATTTCTTTGGGTGGCACATTTATTGCGACCTAGCTAATATTTCTTCAACCTTTGAATTTCTCTTCATCCACAGGAGAAATTATGAGATTGATTTATTTTATTCTAGACCATAAATGTAATTTTTAATAAATTGTACCTTTCATGGCATATTTTTGTGGTTCTGACGTTTTGTTTATCCTCTTTCGATGGTGGCGGCGATAGTGTAACGGTTAGCGAATCGGACTCTTAGATCAAAGTTCGAGGGTTAAAACCAGATTGAAGCCGTGGATTTTTTAAGGCGAGAAAATCCTCTGTACTCCTTCCTTCGGAAGGGAAGTAAAGTAAAGATGTCCCATGTTAGTAGATTTACTGCATGTAAAAGATCCTCAAGACTAAATGAACCCTCTGAACTAAATTCAAATCGCCTGTTTTGTCGCCCAACAAATACCTAATTCATCGGCTAGTGGGTGAAAAGAGCGTAGCGAAATTTGCGTGGTCAGATGGAAGAGCAGGCCTGATGGCATTATTATTGCCTCCCCTAAAACGGAAGGTGGATCTATACAATATTTGAAAATGGCCGTGAATAATAACCAATAACCATGTCCATGTCCAATAACCATGTCTTCCTGTAGCCATCTGATATCGTTTCCCAGGACCGAAACAGACGAAACTCGGTGAATGGAATGAATAACACCTGTTTCCCCCAATCTGTCCGAAGCAGATTCACAAATATTGTCCCCAGGTACTGCCGTGTACTTGCGGTACCTAAAATACAGGGCCCCCACACATAAAAGATACTATAAGCGCAGCTGCGTCAGCCTAGGCAGAAAAATATCTTGTCATCAGCAGGAGTGGAAAATATTTGAATTTGTGTTCGCGCATTTCTTTCCTTTTGAAAGTTTCTATTGAGTAACAATGAAGTTCTGTGTTCTCTCTATTGTTTGTATTGTTTTTATAATTTTCTTTGCAACATATTCTTTAAATTTAAAAACTTTTTTTAAACACTTTTTTTAAACTTTAAAACTAAATTTAAAATTTAAAATAAAAAAACTCCAAAATAATTCTTTGATCTGATTTTCTTCTATACACACATGAGCCAATATTTCTTGGAATTCAGAATCTTTGCTGAATCAGACAGTGACAGTTAGAAATAATTGAAGAAATATTCACAGTTGATATCTCAAAATAAATATAGTATTTGCGTTTGAAGTCTCATTCATCTGTAAACTTCTAATTTAGACTATTTCAAAAGTCCTCAAACAATATTTTTTGTAATTAATTCTTTGAATACTCTGATGACATTGAATACTATAAAAATAATTTTTCAATTGCAAAATTTTAAAATTTTTAACATAAATCTAAAATTATTTTTTAAAGCATTTTTTTCAGTTTTCGTATTTTTCCGGACATCTTGTGAACATCCGTAAGTGATCCACGTTGCTTGGGCAGTAATCATTTTTAATTTTATTTATTTACTATTTATTTCATATTATTTGTTAATTTTTTTCACAAAAATGCACGGTATTTCTTTTTGCTCCCTTTATATTTCTTTTTCAATTTTCTCCTGCTTGCTAGAGACCCACTGACGATGGCAAAAGTGTTTTCCCAAACTTTAACTCTGGGAATGTAATAATTAGTAAAATGATTATACTTTATTGTGGACGATTATTTCCTTTCTCATATTAAGTAGGTTTTATAGTCGATTGATTGATTATTTCGTTTTTTGAGGCGCGTCAACCGCTACGGTCACTAGTTCCAGAAGTGTAGTGCATTTTTATCATGAGAGGTGCCGGTATTCTTTTCCCTGGATGGCGGGATCCGCTTCCGACCTACATGTCGGCTTACGGGGTCTTCCCTTTCCAGGTAATTCACACCACTTGCCAGGCTCCACCTCAGGCGGGACAGAGTAATCCCCATATGGTGTCCCTTTATGTGTGCTAGTGTAATGCATGTACGTGCAAGTGTGTGAATAAGGGTGAGGATAGGAAAGACCGCAAGGAAGAACGCAAGATCGCGGGCGGTCCTAGGCCCGATTGTTGCTCTGTCATTCGTCTGGTATTGATCGGAGAAACTACGGAAAACTATCGATCAGAGCAACCGGACGCTAGAATTCTCCTCCAGACAGCGACTGAATCCGACCTAGCTATCTGGCTGGTGTCGAAAATCCTGCCACCGTTGAGACTAGAACCATACGCCCTCCCGGTCAGAGGCACTGCAAGTGATACGAGTTAAAGCCCTCAGCCGGTTTAGTATTCATAATTGTACATACTTCGAGTGATCCGAACCAGTATCTAAATAGGTATACAATTTCAGATGCCATCTAATTAGATGTTTAATCTTTTCTGTCTCTGAAATTACAAATATCTTTTTCCTGAGATATTTGGTTATAAAAACACCTAGAAAATAACACTATAATATGCATATTGAAATATTTAAGTGAAAGTGACTTGCTAACTACTGCTGAAATGAAATTACATTCCGTCTGAAGCAGCAATATGTAATTAAAACGAATTCTCATAGGACATTTCAAACCATCAACCAACGCTCTTTTTTTCAAAGGAAAGTGTTAATTTATTTAGTACAAGTTTCCGCGTTTCATTACATTGATGCTTATATGCCGTGTGTGAGTGTGAAATAGTGGCAGAATAGGAATTTCATTTTCTCTTTGTTTACGAATTTTCTGTATGTTTTCTTTTTGCTAACAAAAAGTGTACCGATTTTATTTATTGTAATTCCTTTGTTCATTGAAATTCAAGATTTTTAATAGAGTTTATCAACTGTTTTCTTTATTGCTTGTCGGAGAAATATTTTGTTGATTAAATTAAAAGAAACACTCTGCTCTCACTTTGATTAAAAACTAATTATTAAAGTTTTCAAAAGTGAGTCATGCAAAAGAAGGTTCTTTATTTAACACGGTGAATAGAGTATTAAATAATACAAAGAAACTCGTTGTGCTAGCTATTATTCTGAATTCGTTTACTGCAATGTTAAATATTTAAAATTTAAATTATCGTGTATTCATATTAATTAAAGGTGATTTACAATACTTGGTCATTTAGAAGTAAATTGACTTTCGAATAGTTTCAAACGAAATATTATTTATTTTAGAGTATTTTTATAATATATTTCTTTTTGTTCTAGTGGTGAAACAACATTACGAAGTGCAAGTACGTGATACGTATGTGCTGAAAGGCAACACGGCCGTGCTCAAATGCGAAGTACCTGCCTTCGTGAAGGACCACGTCACAATCACGTCCTGGGTTCAGGACCAATCTTTTAATATTTACCCCACACCCGAGAGCGGTAAGTAACGATTTTATTTAACCTTAATAGCGAATTGAACATTTGAAAGGTGTTGAGACATGAGAGAGTTAATAATGAGAGAGTTAATAATAATTATCCGTGAATTACAATAAAATATTCTTAGTTAGATCTCACATAAAATGTAAACTTGTACAATCAAAAAACAAATTACGCAAGCAAACATCGTATAAAATTGTACTTTAAGGTGAGAAAAATAATACGGAAAAATGTTTTGGGATCGATCTTCCAAATCCAAAACATTAAAACAAACAGAACAGAACAGTTTAAATGATACAAAATCCTTCATAATGTTTTATTCTGATAAATCATATTTCATTTTTAACGTTCTTGGTATTCTAGATTTCAGTTCAAATATTGAGAAATATTTCGTAAATAAAAAAAACAAACAAAGAACTATTCACTGCGAATGATTGATTTTGTATTACGAGTTTATTATCTTTCATTCTTTTAAAGTTTCATCAAAACTGTAAAAAGCGAAAGTATGAAGCAATTGCATTTTGTTATAAATAACTTTCATAGAATGATGTTCAAACGTTTCAAACTTTTTCAACGTGATCAAAGTCTGTTTGATCACACCTTTTGCCTATGCTAAAGGTCTTTTCGTTCACTTGAATTGAAATATCATTTTAATTCCTCAAGGATTAAAGACACAGCCAAAAATTAAGCAAATTTAGAAATGACAATACGAAAAAAGGGACAATATTATTAATAAATGTTACCATAGCGACTATGGCTATCATTTCAACCTACAAAAGCAAGGGAGTATGAACCTACGTCTAAGAGAATAATGTACCAAAGAGCAGAAATTCTAACCTTTAACAATAAAAATTGATTGTCACAATCTTTTCTAAATTTGAGGAATTCATGCTTGTAAAGACTTTAGAATTTCTTGGCTGGTAGGCTTCATTTTGTCCATTCGAAAAATGTAATTTACAATACTGATAAATGATAATATTAATTCAATCGTCAAACACGTATTGTTAACAATGTTTCTGAGATAAATACGTTCGTACGTCCAGATATCAACGTTCTTCTAAACACGAAGAGTTGCTTTCAGGAGAGAATAGTAACTCCAAGGTGATGAAGAATCGTAGGATTTTGATTTATTATTAATATAAGAGAGTATTTTTTCCCCGAAAGCCTTCTTTGTCATTTCTCTGTCGAAAATATTGTATTATTTCTCGTAAACGAGCTTGAATTTTTAAGGCAATTATTTTGGTATAGTAAATTCCGCTTCTTTTAAGACATCAGTAACATGTGTCTAATTATCATTGTCTAAGTAATACATCTCATAAGCTGCATTCGAATATGATCCCTGTCTTCAGTGCACAATACAAAACAATAATAATCACGGCTACCTTGTGTATTGAAAATGACAAATGATTGCCTTCTTGTGTACCAAGGTGGTCATCTGGCAATCTGGGTATCTGGGTATCTGGCAAATATGCGTGCGCGATTTTTAAACTAAACAGAAAATGTTTAATGACACGGAATATATATTTTTATATGACACGGAATTTAACGGAACTCTCGGAAGATTTATGTCCGGAGCTCGTTATCGCCCTCGTGATATAAGAATTTTCTATCATGAGTAAAGTTCAACTTAAACCCCTTGTTTTATAAATAACTATAATTTTTATCTGCCTCATGGTTTCTGAAATTAAATCATGTGACTTTTGTTTTTGAGATCACTTAGTAGTTATGTACCACTTTTGCTTTAAAAAATGCACGAAAAACTAAAAAATCTATCATGCAGATCTATTGTTGTTTTGATAATTTACTTTGAGTTAGTTTTCAATCTCACTGAGCAATAACAGTAAAAGATATAATTATTATTTTAAGGATTGAAGCTGTATAAGGGGATGATGAAGTACATTCTAATGAAAATAGTTCTCATCCATTTCCATAAAACGATTTATTTCCAATTATGCGATCATGTCTAATACGAAAATTGTAGCACTTTCTTGATCAAAGGACATGTGAGTGGGAATATCGTTCGTTCTTAAATTATCATTTATTCTCACCTTATAAAAATTTCTAATATGGAATATCGTTTGTGTAATTGTTTTCTTCTATAAGTAATAAGATTCGGTAAAATCTTCGCACCACAATTTCATACTTTTAATATCAAGACTTTATCTCACCAAACTCTTTTAAGAAATTCAACTAAGAAAGCAAGGGTGTAAGAAACATTCTTTGTGACTGGAATAGACAGCAAACTTTACTTGTTCTCCAGGGAGGGTGAAAAATGTAACTGGCGGTGCAAAAAATGGAACTTTCTTACTAGAACGGAATTAGTTTAAGAGTAGTAAAGAAGCGAAAGTTTCCGCTCGATTCACCCACTATACGATCCCTTTCGAATTTACTCCGCTGTTAGGTAACATCACTTTCCGCGAAAGAACGTTCGATTGGAGATGCCCTGTCATATACAACTGGAAGAATTCTTGGTTGAAGGATAGTCGATGATGCTTTTAAAAAAGAAGTCACTTCTCCTTTCTTTACAACTTCCTTTGTGGAGTTTTGAAGTGAAACATAAACTAAAATTCTTGGAAAACCGAGAAAAGTCTCACTCTTAAATTTTGATTAAGAAATAAAAAGTTTAATACAAAACTGAATTCAATTACATTTTCCTCTCACAAATTCAGTGTGAAATTGATCAATAAATTGGTTTTAATTAAACTATGTTAGTAAAGATCAATTAATCTTTATTAATATTTTCAGTAAAATAAAGCTTAAACATACATCTATACATGCTCATTTGTCTTGTTGAGGTACACAGTTTACAAAATTGTTTATATCGTTTGAAAGTTCCTTCTAATTGTTGACTAGCCAGAATTCTCCTTTTAACAGAAGTGATGTTCGTTTATAATAATGTGATATCATGTAATGTTCTATAAATAGTATAGTCTTCATTGTGCTGAAACGTTCATAATGATTCTCCCAAGAAATCCTTTATTTCTTGGCAACGTGATTGACAGTCCATTGTTCTTTTGTCTGGAAACAACCTATCGATTTTAAACAGCGTACTCAGATAAACCAACCGAGAGATGTTATTACGTGTTGTGAGCGGCAACCACCCAAGTCAAGAGGGCGAACCGTAGGGTGTTGGACGCAGCTGTCGGAGGCGCGGCGCAGAGAAGATACCCGGAGGGTGCCAGTCCTGGCCGCACTGCGCACTTCCACATGACCTATCGCCGCACTCAAATGCATAGAAGAATGGGAGAAGTAGCGACAGAAGTGGAGACGCCGTACTTTTATGTCATTTATTTTCTCTCTGGCCACCCTATCCTTAATTCTCTTTCTCCTCTGTGCGTTTTCGTCTCTGCCTTTTCCTGTCTGCCTTTTTGCTCCACTTTTTCTCTCTGACATTTTTTGCCTTGCTTCTGTTTCTTTGTTCTCTTTCTTTCTACTTCCCCTCCCTTTCTATTTCCTCTCGTGTTCTTTGCTCCTTTCCTTTTCTCGCGCTTGCTCACTTTCTTTCCTACGGCTTTTCAGCCTCTCGGGTCCCTTCCCGTCGCCTGTCCTGACGGCACCAAAGCTCGAGACAATCGTTGCGCATCCAATAACGTGCTTCTATCGGATCAGCGTCCCACTTTCAAAGCAATGGATCTCCAATTGTCAAGTTAGCAGCGGGGAGGCGAGGCGAGGCACGGCCAGGCAAGGCGTGGCGTGGCGTGCGGACCGAAGGCCGGGCCGGGCCGGGCCGGGCCGGGTGGATGGCGGGATGTCTGCGGATTCCGACCGCAGCAGGCAGTGGTCTCGCGCACGCCGCCCTCTTCCCTTGCCTTCACTCGCGCTGTCGTTCGATGCACGTGCTCTCGCCTCTTTTATCTGTTCCCGGCGCGCAGCCCCCGCTCTGCCAACGCGCCGATCTGTCTCCGCTCCCCGCTCTCCTCCCTCGCCCTCTCGCTGCCCCCGCCGTTCGGCCCTTTCCCACCAATTATCCGCCGTTCCGGCGCCAGTTTTGCCCATTTTTCACAGATCAGCAGTTCTCTGATAAGTGCGAGGAATCCCCCGTTTTTGTTCCGCAGAACCCGTTAATTTTACGTTCCGGTTCGTTCTACCGCTGCTACCGCTATATTTAGAAAGGAAAGTTACGTTAAAATAGATGGCAACTTCGTGTGGCCAGAGTTTTTAATTGCTTTAACACCAAAACAATCTCCTTTCATGTGTGGTTCCATTCTCTCCTTTCTGATGCTACAATGAGGCAATTAATTTTCTACAGTGACACCAAAATATTGTTCTGTTATTACAGTTCTGGACAGGAATTGCGAAAATTCTTGATTTACTTCACCTTTTTCTGTGCCTTGTAATGCTATCGCGTAGTATCAAAATTTCAGATTTTTTATTTTCGATCTCGTGACATATAGTTATTCATAAAATTTATAGAACTACCGAACGCACTGAAGAAAACAGTAACGATTATACACAAAAATCTACAATATAATATTTATATGCTTCAGTCAACTTTGGTACTCGACCAAATTGAAGACAATTTTATGAAAGAGAGTTTCAGAAGCTTCAGCATGTGTTAATAATAATTAGGTTAATTTATTTTCCCATCAATATGTATATTATCGATTAATTTATTTAATTTCTAAGTGGGTTATTAAAATACTTGTTTTAAAATTCTGAAAAACAATTCAGTGCCATATTAAAATAAAAATCATGGTCATATATTTTATTTATTTAATTCATTTTTAATATTTAATATTTACAGAGACCTGTGAAATTATATATTATTTTTCGACGCAGGGTAGAACACGCCTCAAAACCTAGTTTTGGTGTGTTGAATTGAGATCTGCTCGCCAATTTTGCATACCACGAACTTTTTTCGTGCCACACAGAAAAGAAAAATTGAATGTTTTAGTAATTTCTTGTTATTTAATCATATTTCACAATACTCAGATCTCTGAAATATGACAAAATGTTGATAGTACTGGTGCAGAAGTATAAAATTAATAGTGAAATTTTAATCT